AGAGTGACAAAAAATGTGTGGACATACTGTGAAACCAATAGTGCCAAAATTTTTAAACTGAATTAACTTATGCTAGGAGTCTAAAAATTAGAAAATAAGTTTATAGAAATGTATACAAGTAGGTCGGGACCAGTAGTTAGCATAATGGTTATGTCACTGGACTCCCATGTAGTCAACAGTTTGTGTCCTGGACCCAGTGGCTTAAAACTTACGCCAGGTGCATGTGCAAGCATGCCCAAGATCCCGAGAGGAGAATGGAGGAGAAGGGATTGCAGTGTGGCCATCCTCCCTGGGGGGTGATTTCTCACTTTCTGTCTCTCTGTCTCTCTCTCTGTCTATCTGGTGATTGCAAAAACCTATTGCAAAACGCCCTATTGCAAAAACCTCTCCAAAAAAATAAAAAGTATACAAGTAGGTAAAAGAAATTTTATGCAACCTACTCTCTCTCCTCTTGTATTCATTTAGAATTTTATGAATGGTTATAGGAGAGTAGTCAAGGTATTGTCTGGGGATAGCAGCTTATGATAGGACAGATGAATACTTTGAAGCCAAACGTACCCACATTTGAATCCTGGATTCCCAATTTTCTTTATTTTTTTATCTTATTTTATTTTCAAGTTCTTCTATACATTCAGTCATGTCATTTAGTTTGCAAAGTGAATATCCCAACATGTTTACAGTTTTCCCCAGTCAAGTTGATAATAATTTAAAGTTATCTTCAACAGATAATTCCCCTTTTCTTTGTCCCATTAATGCTTTGCCTCTCCATTTTTCTCCTTAATGTCCTTCCTCAGATTCTGTTCCTTCACCCATGCTCTTTCCACACTATATCTGGTATTCACAACCATTTACTGTGTTTCTATATCCTTTAGTCATTCAGTTTCAGTCATAGAGTGCAGAAACTCAGTATATATTATAGTGGGGACTTACAATGGATTCCCAACTTTCTAATTATGGATATTTAAACAAGTCAGCCACTTGGATTGTCAGATTCCCTCAACTATAAAAGCAGGACAACCCAAAGGGCATATCTCATATTGTTCTAGAGGTAGTTAAAGGGATACTATGATGTCTTGAGATGTTCTCTATGGTGCAAGGACCCTTCTGTTTACTCTGCATGGTACTAGACTAACTCACACACAGACTCTGCCTCAAGAGATATATACTCGTGTAGAACCCTTATTTAGCTATTTAGGCAGAATAACTATAATACAATTGAGAAAATGATCAGTGTCTGTTGTAGATATTGCATACAATTTATTAAACATGGGTCTAATATGGGTGTGTAGAAATGGAAGAAATTATGAGAAGCAAGAAAAGGGCAAAATGTATTTCAAATTGAGAATACAGATTGCTTGAAAACACAGCTAGCAAACCATGGAGAATAAATAGACACCAACAAAGTAGTGTAGTGCAGTACAGATATGGATGAATATAGGGTAGATGAAGGATGTAGTAAAATAGGGTTGGAAAGGTAGTGACATGTCAGAGTAGTGAGAAGTTACTTTCAATTTTACAGTCTGGTGAAAAAATATTAAAGCCAAAGACATTTAAACCAATTTTCTGGGTGGCTACAATAGTTAGACAGGCCTAGCTACTAAAAAATCTACTTGCCATGCTTTTCTTGGCTAACTCCTATTTGTAGAATCTTGGTGTCTCGGACTGTGAACAGAATTTTCTAAAACTGATCATTAGAGAACTTCTGACTCAGAGTCCAAGCAACTGAGCTCTGTCCTTATCATTCCATTTCGGAGGCTGCATCATAAAAGACATGCGGTGGGACTGTTTGTATAGGACTTTAGTTCACTATTAATGTACTTCTCAATACGTGGCCTTCTGGAACTGGCCAATTTATACACTCAACTCATCTCTGTGTACTTCACGTCTCTGTCCAGATAACGAGCTGCTCTCTCCGCGTATTTCCCCTGGAGAAGACTGATCTATTTAGCAGCCTTCACTTCTGTTACATTATCCAGCCCCAGGCAGTGATGATATTTATACATAAGACAGAGACATTTCTATGCTGTGATCAAGTTTGAAGGAACTTGGAGCCAATGACATTTCACTTTGAAGCCAAAGAAAAACAAGCACAGATTTTTCAGTCTTGCTAAGAATGAGGGCCGGAGAAATGAACAGGAAGGTCTCTAGACCCACTATTCAATATGTAGTGCCCAAAGCCTTTATGTATTCAAGTTAAGTATTGTTAAACACACCTCCCTTATCTGATGAAGCTTATGTTTCCATCAAAATAAACACAGTTTTATTGGTGACATCGTGGGTAAAAATGGGATGTTCCATTTTATCACCCACTTTGCTTTATTCTAAAATGAGTTCTAGAGCATAATAGAAAAAAAAAATGAGTTCTAGATTTAGGGTAGAATTTCTAGCCAGCCTTAAGCTGAAACTTCACACATTCCCACGTAAGGGTTTTTACTCTATTGGCAATCCTCGAATTCATGGGAAATGTTCGCTGCACAAATATTAAGGGTGTCCTCTTCCTCTCTCATTTCTTCTCAGGTGGGAAATTGGCAAGTGGAGTCCATGTAGTCTCACCTGTGGGGTTGGCCTGCAAACAAGAGATGTCTTCTGCTCTCACCTACTTTCTAGAGAGATGAATGAAACGGTAATCCTGGCTGATGAGCTGTGTCACCAGCCCAAGCCAAGCACCGTGCAAGCTTGTAACCGCTTCAATTGCCCCCCAGCCTGGTACCCTGCACAGTGGCAGCCGGTGAGTTCTGAGGTTACTCAGTAGTGGGTGGTTTGTTTGAAAAAGTAATTCAAGACAATGGGTACCTTCTCAGAGTACTTATATCTCTTAAAAAAAAAAAAAAAAAAAAGTTCAAGGTCCCTTCTTACTACTCCTACTACTACAATCTTATTCAAATTCTGTTATTATAAGTAACAGGCTTTTTCAACTGTACCATGCCCCAGTGACCTTCTAAAGCAACTCAGATGACTAGTTAACCAGAGCATATTCAACCCAAAGATATCATCATGTTAAGGAAAATTTTTGTTGAATAAAGACAATGTGGTGCATTTTCCATAAAGCTAAACATGTTCTGAATGTATATCCTTTCTAGTTTTTTGATGTTTAAAATTCTAAGAAATAAAACTTCTAGGCAGTGATTTTTAAAAAACAAATCATAAGTTAACTAAATAAGAAGTTAGAAATCCTGAATTAATCCTGATTTTTTTTCCTGGTCCTATGAATTTCAAAAGTCTGGGGACCACTGTTGTAAAAAGGATTGGCAAAGTGCAGCCCATAAGCTAAATCCAGCTCACAGCCATTTTTTTTAACTAAAGTTTGATTGGAACACAACCTCACACATTGTGTTAAGTAGTCTCCATTTTTGCTTCACTGTAAAGGCAGAATTGCCTGTGGGTGGCATAGTGGTTGGGGTGCTGGACTTCCACATGGTCGACCACATTTTGAGTCCCAGACCTGGCAGCTTGGGACTCATGCCAGATGTGTGTGCCCAAAACCCCAGGAGAGAATGGAGAAGAGATCGCAGCATGACCACCTCCCCTGGATGGTGATTTCTCACTCTCTTTGTCTCTGTATCTCCAGTGAGGGCACATGCCCTATAGCAGAAATCTCTCAAAAAAAAAAAAAAAAAACCGACCTGACTCTAGCAGATATCATATAGCTTAAAAAATATTCACTAAAAAATTTACTGTCTGCCCTATACAAAAAAAAAAATTGTTGATCCTGCACTAAAACATACATTATAATAATAAAGTGTAACTATTTTATCATCATATTCTATCTAAAATTAATGTGCACTTACCAAACCTCATTTAAATCATCTTTTTGCATGCATTTGAAAACACAAAGGGATTTTAGATTGATTGTTTAGATAAAATCTTATTTGGCAATTTGTTTTTAATTAAGACATCTGACATAATTTTAAAGTGACAACAAAGGTCACAAAAACAGTAAGCCTGAAAGGGGGTTGTAGGGAAGAAAACCAGATGGTTGTACAGTATTGCACAATGCTCTGTAAAGCTGACCCCCACGGGGAAGTTCAGGGTTCATGTCTGGAGACCCCTTGAACATGCCAGGTTCATATGTGCCCATGATTCAGGATTGGCTGAAGCTGGAAACAGGTTGTGGTGTGAAGACATTGTTGAGGGTATTTGCCTGTGTCTCTCTATCTTTCTCAATATTGGAAGAAAAAAAGAAACTTGAAAAGAGGGAGAAGGTGGGAGAGGACATACATTTTGCTAGGATAGTTTTTCGCTCTTCAGAGTATTTCAATTTGGATGATAACATTGTAAGGGCGTCCAGCTGAGAAGGCTAGCAGATGATATACCCTTCCCTTAGTGCCGAGAGAGGGGATTGCATTTCCAGACAGCCATTGCTTCCTCCGTGCTTTCATAACCATTTGGCAGACTGTCTTCCTTCCCTCTGCCTATCTTGGGGGTGTGGTTTAGTAAAGCACTGAAAGAATCAAATGGTAATGAGTAAGCAAATACTAAAGTATTTAATATAAAGCATCTAGAAACAGACATTGACTGTATATTTTCTTTTAGGGCTTAAGTGTACATGAGCAAGTTCATCCATTCTCTGCTACTGTGTGATGGTTTGTGGAAATCAAGAGGATGCCATGTATCTTGAACACCCATGTACTAGTGTTTTACCAAAAAAGATATATTGTTACACAGCTAATTAAAGTTTATCCTTACAACAAGCCAGTGAAAAGTAGGCTTTATCATCTTCATTTTAGGTTTGAGGAAACTAACTGGGGTTCACACAGCTAGCACATTTAGGGTGGTCATTAACCCTATTTTATGTAGCCCCTTTCTACCACACCAACCTCCGTTGCTGTATGGGCCCTCAGAGACTATGTATGAGTGCCCTTGTTTTACCAATGACGTCATTTTGGCCTAGATCTTGTTCAAGATTGTACAGCCTGGACAAGAACCCAGATCTCAGACTTCTAGTGCATTTATACTAAGTTACCTCTAACCAGAGTAAATCTATGATCTTTAACTGGACAACTAACCCATGCCAACCATAAAAAAGGTGAGGAATCATCTCAAGTCAGCATCTACTGTTGAGACTACTAAATCTGTGTTACTTTTAGATACATAGTAGATTGTGAATAAAATGTTTATTGAATGACAAAAGAAATGACTAGATCCTCCCCACAGGTTCTGAAAATCCTTTATACCTTAGTGATATGTTGTTTTGTTTTTTTTTTTTAATAGTCATGAGTCATAATACTGCCCTCCCCGTGAAATTCAGTGAAACACCAACCTCTTGTCAATAGCCACACACGTTGCTGAACATGATTTGACACATGATGCTTTTTTCTGTTTTTAGAGCACATCCAAGTAACCTTGGGTCGGTTGCTGCTGCCACCGCCAGCACACCCAGTGTCCCTGCTTGAAACAGCAGATTTCCAGAGGCACTTATTCTTCCCTTTTCATCTACCTTGGGTCTGTGAAGATATACATTTATTTTGAAACGTTTTTCTTTTTTAGAAAATTTTGCCAGAGGGCATGTGTGCTTACTGGTGATGGGGTGGGAGGGAGGCACCCCCAGTGGAGAATGGTCACACCACACCAAAAATCCCCTCTCCTCCATCTCTTCCTCCTTTTGGGATTTTGGGCGCCCTTACATGCACGCCCACCGTGTTTTTCAAGCCACCGCGTCCAGGTTGCGAACCATGTAGTCAGCCAAGCAAGAGTCAGTTCTTGTAACTACCAGGCCCATTGAAAGATTTTTCTATTTTTTTTTTTCTATTAAAGAGAAGTCTTTGGAAACGAGTCAGATTTAAGTCAATTTTTCAGCTCAGGAAACTAATACTAAATAACTCCTTGAGGGTGATTCAGTGAATCAGTGACTATACCTTAATGGCACCTTTAAAATGTATCTTCTTTCATACTTGATATAAAGTCATTATAAAGAATACTCAGATATAACAAGACATAAAGAGTAATAAAAAAGTGAAAGTCGTCAGTGTTTCTGTCCTCACAAAAACACCCTTGGTAAGAGTTTGGTGCATGGAGTCTGTTTTAAGGATCCTAAAGTTCGTTGAAAGAAAGGAAGTCACCGTGGAAGGAGTCAGAGTACTTGCAAGCGTCCCTAGGCTAATTGGCTGTGCTCTTAGGGTACTGCTTAGTTAGGACACCAGCAGTTCACAGCCCACTTGCCTATTAGCCTTCTGATTCCTCAGCAGTCCTCGCATGGACCAGGGAACCTGGTGTGCACTCAGGTGATTGTTTCCATTTAGCCTAAGAGAGGATCAAACTGAGGTCTCTAATTCTTCAACACCTAACCTACAACCCTTAGTATTCTTATCAAAGAAAAAAACTGAGGGATCAAATGCTTTATTTAAAGGAAGGTGAATAACAACTTGGCAGACATGCACCTCTTCAAGGGCAAAAACTCCCTCCTCACTGTTTGTATGCAGGGTTATGTGGACCTCATCTGTAAGTTCCTTTTCCTGGGGGCGGGGAGGGGCGAGGAAATTGTCATTGTCATCTACCAAATGGGAGTGCAACCTCCATTGTTCTTTGCAGAGTGTTTGCCTGACAAATGGCAACTAACCCTTATTCACACCTTCTGCAGATCTGGAGAGGACCTAGCATGGAATCCTCACATTGATATTAAAATTTTGTTTTAGAAACAAACAGAAATGAAACAGAAATCTAATTCTAGCTTTGACAAGTTATTATAAAGGGAATAATCATCTTTATTTTAGTGCTACCTCATGCTCAATACTCCATCTCTTGGCTTTTAATCTCTGTTCTGGAGAAAGATTTATTTACTACTTATCTTTAGCAGTTGAACTTTACTATCTAGTTGGTCTAAGTTTAGATGACTCTTGCACACTTTTTTTTTTAATATTTACATTCAGTCACTATACATAATTACATTGTACAAAATGATATTTTCCGTCCAGAATACACTATATATTGGCTCAATTGAGGATGTTACCATACATGTTATCATCAACAAATAATTTTCTATTTCTTGTTCCTTATATCTTTTGCTTTTTTCTCCCCTTGATTCCCTACCTTTCACCCTCTGCCAACTCCCCCTCTTCTCCTGCACTGTCTCTGGTATGTACAGTTGTTTTCCATGCCTATTTTTTTCATAATTTATTGATTCACTAAAGATATTAATTAATTTAAAGACTTTCAATAGCAAGCACAGTTGATACATACATAATTATGAATGCATGTCTGACTTTAGACATAAACCTCAGCAAGCAAAGTGAACGTGCTGTAAAGTAGCACCTCACTGGGGCCATATAGCTTACTGCAGTCATTAAACAGATATTAATAGGTATTTTTAATGCATTTTTTATTTCAAAAAAAGTTTTCATTTTAATAGATCAAAATCAAAAAATGTTAAGAGGGATTTGCTTAAAACTTAAAGCCAGGAAAAAGGTTAGGATTCAGTTCAGATAGTAGGTAGATGAATCTATCATCAAGAAAAGACAGAAAAAGACAAAAATCCTTAAATATGGAAATCAAAGCATTGAAGAAAATCAGCAATGTTTTAGTCTAAAGTAAAAAAATTCTATTTCACTAGTTCAGACTCACATAATTAATATCTCTTCTATTGAATTTGCAGTTACTGTGGTCTGATCTTTCCATTTAAACTCTGGAAGTTAACATTCAACTCTGGTCTTGTCCTTACCATTAGGCTAGTCTTGGTTGTTTCTTGTACTCTTATTTCTGTGTATCCGACTTTAGTTTTTCTGGTATAGCACT